TATAGGCAAATTTACATAAATTCCACTAGATTCTGAGGTTATTACTTCGTACATTCTAATTTACATTATTATAAATATGACCAGATTTTGGTGTGTACAGGTACATGTATCTCAGAATATATGAAGTCAAAATAAGGTGTATTTTGTTCTAGATATAATGTATCAAAGTGGATTTGCATATATCTGGACATAAAACAAATCTAACTCACCACTCTCCTCTGTATCTAGCCAAATTCATATGAGTCGCACCACATACATGTATTAGAGGGTGATTGGATTGGTTTTAAAATTGGTCAAACCTACTTTTAAGTTAGTTTTTGACTTTTGAAAGTGTTTGGTAAATATGAAAACTAACTTAAAATTAGTCAAAATGACTTAAAATAAGTCATCATTGACTTTAAATAAGTTTGAAAGTCTTTGAAAAGGCAAAAAAATGTCTTAAAATAAGTCAAAAACCAAAAGTAGGTCTCCCCCTACTTTTTTTTTTGACTTAAAAATTATTTATGTTTGACTTTTTATTTTTGAGTTAAAAATAACTTTTTAAGCCAATCCAAACAGACTCTTAGTGTGTATGTAATGTGATTCACATGTATCTATGATACATGACTATCTTCCTCCCCATCTCGCTCGCCTCCCTCACGTTCTCTCTTGCCTCTCTCCTTATTTTAGTGTATAACAACAAAAAAATGTGTATTTAGGTGTATCCTCCTTATTATGGTGTTAGAAAACTGTTAGTTAGTGATAAGATACATAATTATTTGAAAGTATATATACGTAAAGCCAGTATATATGGTACGATCAAATAAGTCTTACTTTAGGCTCTTGAACAAATACATAGCCCTCTCTATCTTCTCTCCATATTTCTATGGTAATGATGCGTTACCGGATGTTTTGCACTTTCTCAAAATTTGTGTCTTTCAGGCTTGAAGCCTTTTTGTGATCAATTTACGAGTGGACATCAATCCATAGTGGCTTGGATCTTACTTGAGATTTACAGAGTTGACACCGCCCCCCCCCCCACCCGAATCACTCTTGTTGTTGGGTGGGTTACACCTCCTGGAATGGACTGTCTCGATGGGTGGCCTAGATTGATTGGAACTCTTGCTAGTTGGGCTGGAAATTGACTGGTTCTTTGTTATGTGGTTACTTAGGCTGTGATCCTGGAAAAAAAATGGATTTAAATTTAGGTTACTCTTCATTCTTGTAGTCTTGGTTATTTTGTGCACTTGTCGGCCTTTGATGCATATTGAGTACCTTTTTTGGTACTCATGCTACACTCTACATCTTTTTCCTAATGCAAATCTTTGTACCACAGACAATGATGATCATTTTTCATCTTTTGTAGCTTTTGGATATCATAGACAAGGGTGAGCACTTGGCGTCCTAGGTAAGCATGTATCCTTCTGAACTTATGTTAACTAGTTTTTTATCTCTGAAACGACTTGTTGTGGTCCACTTTATAAGTACTTGAATGTTTAGATAGATGATTTATAGAGTAAAACTAGTTATTTAAATGATAATCTAAGTTAAAACCAAGTTTAGTCGTATCGTCAATTTGAATAGTATATTAACTCCTTATCCTTTCTTTGTTCGCATGTATATTTGGGCATGGGTTCGCCATGAACTCATTCTTTTGCATTTTTGAGAGCCATGAAGGCTCGAATTCCTTCTTGAGTCAATCATTAAAATCGATGGGTCATGAAGTATAAAAATTGAGGAAAAGTTGAAGAAGTTGGGACGAGAAGACCAAAATTATTTTTATTATTGTTGTATTTTGTTGTTTTCAGGCCTAAGCCTTGTAAACTTCTCTTATTATATTGGGAAAATTGTATATAATAGCAAATTAATAACCAAAATAAATGGAGTAGCTAGGGTTTGATTTAATTGTGTTCCATAGCAAACGTTAGCCAAAATGTGTCAGGCGCCTCTCTCCCAAAATTCTCGCTCGCCACTCTCCCATTCTCGCCTCTCTCGTTTTATACACAGAAGTGTATAATTTCTATTTCTGTTTCTGTTTTGTATAAAGCAAGAGAAAATTGTATATACACATGCAAAAACATATAACTTCGTGTTATACACTTAATTATATAATTTACAAACATTTTACTTCAATTCAATTGTAGACAAATGCAAATTTTATATAAATATTGCAGAGAAAAAGGTCAACAAATTATATAATTGTGAATTATACAATTGCAATGAAATACAACTTTCTCTAGCTTTATACAACAGAAGTGTATATATTGTGTTTCTGTTTTTGTATAAAGCGAGAGAAAAACATATATCTTCTTGCTATACACTTATAATTATGAAATATACATACATTTTAATTCGATTCAATTGTATGCAAAACAAATTTTATAAAAATATTGCAGCAAAATAGACATTGAATTATACAATTGTGCATTATACAATTGCAGTGAAATAGGATAGCGAATTATACAATTACAGCGAAATAGGCGAGCGAATTATACAATTTAGGCTAGCGAATTATACAATTGTATATGTATAGTGAATTATACAGTTTTATGTTTGCTATGGATCGCAATTATGCAAACTTTGCTATAGCATACAAATATGAATTTTTTATTTGTTATATGTGAAAGTTGCCCTTATTATTTTGCTAGATTTAGGACATGTGACGATTTGGATCTTAGGCCCAAATAAATAAAATTTATTATCTCATTAGTTTAGGACAGGTACAAATCAAATTGGCCTGAGACCCAAAAGAAAAATGGGTCCAAACACCGGTCCAGGCGGACAGAACCCGGGTTTGGACCCAACCCTCTCTCTCTCTTATTCTTGTTTATTTATCTGTTTTTATTTGTTGATAGTTTCAAAGTTAAGAATCTAAATCCCCGCTAACGCCGTAAATATTTTATCGACTTAAAATCAATTTTAAATGGATTCTAAAAGGATGAATAAACTTGCAAACCAATTCTTACTTAGATAGTAAAATTAAATATTTCACTTTTCAAACAATTCTAAAAAAAATTAAAGTTTTTTAGCCAAATTAAATTAGTTCTCGGATAACCGCAAGTAAGCGGACGTCTAAAATGCTTTCAAACCTTCCTAAGATGTTAATATGAATCCCCGAACCCCTCCCCCCTCCCCCCCCCCCCCCCCCGTTAAAAGTTTTCAATCGATTTTTCTGTTAAGTCTTTTCAAAACAATAATTTTTTCTTGATTTTTCCTTAAAAATTTAAGTGGTGACTCTAAAAAGTCTAAAACTTTACGAAAATAATATTTTTTTCTTTTCCTAAAAAAAAAAAAAAACTACTTCACAAGTCACTTCCAAGCATACATGTGCAAGGCAATGATTGTTTATTGTGATGCATCTAGGGTTGATTTGAATTGTGATTCTTATGCATGGAGGTAAGGTGATAGCTTATGCATCCAGACAGCTCAAGGTTCATGAAAATAATTATTCCATTAATAACCTGGAGCTGGCAGCTGTGGTGTTTGCCAACTAATACCAATTCTATTTAGGGCAACGAAAGTCCAGATTAGAAAGTTGATTGCTGAGGTGTAAAGTGAAGTAGAATTTACCAAAATAATTCTCTTTATCTTGCAAGAACAATGGACTATACATATAGAGGAGTTCGTCACAATCATTTATTATCCATATCTTCCAAGCCCATATGCCCACATGAAAATTCAGAACCTTTTCACATAAGATGTAGTTGCTTTATTTTGATAGGTAATTTCACACATCTCTCTTGCCTCTTTAAATGGTAATTTAGGGCATTTAAAAGACAATATGGTCTACGAACACCCTGCGTTCACACAAGAGTCGATGTGGTGTAAGCAGTCTAACCTAACGAAAGCATATATAGTTGGTACATCTTACTTGCAAACATGTCATGCCATTTTTTTTAAAAAAAAAAGGAATACATATCCGTACAGAATTAATAGCTCTAGAGCTATTCTTTTTAAAAGGGATACGAAAGCTTTGTAATGACTCGAAGCACACAAAAATGAAGGCAAGACAACAAATTAGTCTAACCAATTTATCATGAGTGTAAATTTACTTTTGCACGACAATTTGTTTTTTTATAAAAGGAATACAACACCATACCTTTGAGCGTCTTCCTGCATCCAATTGAGGATCATTGAAAACCTAATATGAAAATGTCATTTCACCACTAAAACGCATGTTGAACAAAAAAATTGTAGCCTCCTAGACTTCTAAATAAAACAAAAGGGCGTATATATAAATGCAACGAGATGAGGTACCATAAAATTCGTTAAGCTCGACATAGTAAAATAATAATGTAGTTGATGTTTTTCAACAATTCAAATCATAAACTTAAAAACTATGAACTTACCGTAGGAGGAATATCAATGGTTGAAATTTTTGTTAGAGCTTATGATCAACCAATTTATTCTGCTAAAGAATATGAAAATTTTATCCATTGATTAACATCAATTTGACAGGAGAAAATCCAGAAACCTTAGAAGCTATGAGAATCAATTTTGCTCTTTTAGAGTTTATGTGTTGGTGAGGTTGGGGTGTTTGTTCTGCTGAGTGGTACACGTGGTGTGCTAAAAAAGATTGTGCTATTAACAGGAAAGAGCAAAGAAATTTAGTTCTAATTCTAAAGTACATTTTATGTTAATATGAATCGACTCATTTGATCATGTGCTATTTTGTTCCTTAAAGTCTATTTTATTTTATTTTGATCATAGCATGATGTTTTTACGCAAATAAGTAAAAAGTTTCATCTAATGTATGCCAAGAAGGAATTTCTTCATTCCTATTTTTGTCAAGGCATGGAGGAATATGAGTTTTCTAAAGCTAAACTTGTAAAATATTGCCACGAGTTTTAAAAAGGAAAAAATATTCCAGGCTAATGACCTTACGAGGGTAAGTTTATAAATTCACTAAAATTAATTTTTAACTGTTTTTGAAATTTTCAACTATTGACACTTTATTAGTTTTTAAGTAGTTTATAAATATATAAAGTTTATTTTAAAAAAGTTGAAGGTTTCATATTCAAATTTTTTATTAAAATTAAATTGATTGACTCTTGAAAAGAAAAAGTATTACATAAATGGGATAGAAGAGTAATTTCTCTATCCTTAATTACCAGTTCACTTTTGAATTGACACATTTATTAAAAAATTAATAATTGGCATATTGAATTTACCATTTACCTCTATTAATTATAAGACGAATGAATTAAAACCTTGTTATTTTCAAAAACTTTTACCTTTTTCAAAGTAATTTTCGTATTTTTCAGATCTTTTCTTCCTAAAATTTAATATAACCTTATGATTGTTCCATTCCTTTATAAAAGGAGTTTCACAAAATAAAAAAAAACTTTTAAATCTAGTTTAATTTTGTTATTGATGACTTATAGGAAGCAAGGTAGAAGAGTGTAGAACATTTTTTTGTCCTTTTTCCAATACATAAATAGTAGTTGGAAGAGTGTAGAATTAATGGCATCTGCTCTCATCAAATCCGCCTTCCGCGCCAGTGCATTCAAGAGGAATTTCTCTTCTTCCGCCCACAACGATGAGGCTCGTAAGTGAAAATTCATTAAATTATGTATATTTCGATGGTATCAAATAGAGTAATTAATTTAAAACAGGGGTTAGGATAAACGCTTGTAAATAGTTTCTTAAAAAAATTCACATTGGTTGGGGATTGAATCCGCAATTCTCCCTTCTTTTGTTAGTTTTTTGTCAGTCTTATTTTTTATTGAGCTCTCGATCCATCCATGCTCCAATTGAAGGGGTGTTAGAGTGTCAACATGTAAAGATTTTCAATAAGGGTTCAAAATTTGTAGAAATAGTATTTGAAATATCTAGATAAAAAATTATTTTAATCATGTATAAATAGTATAATTTTCTGTTGATGGTTCCGTCCTGCGTTCATCCACTAGATGGAACATATATCATCAGCTAAAACTTCAATATTCTGAATAGAGAGTATACAGTTGTAAAATCTCTGAATTTTGAGTGTGGACAGGTGAAGCAGCTAAGTGGGAGAAAATTACTTACGCTGGAATAGCTGCGTGCGCTATTCTTACAATTTTTAATCTCTCTAAGGGTCATCCCCACTATGAAGAGCCTCCTGTAAGTGTTAATACGCTGTTTTCTGTCTTCAAAATTTCGATAGAGTTTTCACTAGTCCTGTTGAAGTAATGAGATTTGAGATAATATGTAATTTCATCTGTTCATTGAACAGACATTGTTTTGAATAATTGTATAATTTACAGCTGAGACAGAGTGTGTACATCACTTGCCCTGTTTCTTACTATCATTTCTTTTTGCAGCCTTACCCGTATCTGCACATTCGTAACAAGGAGTTTCCATGGGGTAATTATGATACCTAACATCTCTCTTACTTTGCTCCTCAATGATTACAAGTTTACGTTTTTAATCGTACATTGATGATTCTTCTGAATATTAATCTGTTAATCTAACTAAATCATTCTGATCGAGGCTTCAAAAATGCAAAGCCTGGTTTTTGAATGCTTTGTTTTTTCCCTTTACGATTTAAGTTGCTCGGACTCGGATGTGGGAGTTTCATACTGGTTGAATGATTGTGAATCTAGAGATTGGATCCTTCATCATCTATATGTTAGCATTTGGGGATATGGAGGTGCATGATTCGGCTAAAAATAATTTAAATATCTAAGAATAGAGTTATTATCTCTAAATTATGAGACACTGGAAAGCTTACAAGGTATTATGAAAGAAAAAAATATTGATCAGAGCAGAATCCTTCAAAGTTATATAAGGAAAAGGATTGACAAAGAAATTTCTACATACAATTTTACTCCGTTTTCTTGAATTTCGCCTTAGTTTTAGTTTTTTAATACAAAAATCCTTGTATATGTCCCAGAATTCTATGTTGATTCCGGTCAAAGTACACAAAATTGATTTAACCAAATCCCCTACGAACTCCATGCCCACATTTATGTCGTGTTGACATGGATATGGATACAAAAGTTAAGAGTCCGAGCAACTTAGATTACGATGCTGAAATATTAACAAAAATGGATCTTTTTAAGTGTCATGATCATCTCAATGAGTCATGACTAGTAACTAATATTCCTTTTATGTTGATTATGACAACTTTAGTTTGTTGATTTTGCTGAGTTGAGATGATAACTTCATTATATTGCTATCATCCTGAATGGTTCATATTCTTGAAACTGTTTTATACTAAAATATATTTGGCCCTCCACGAATGCAGGTCCGGATGGCCTTTTCGAGAGGAAGCATCACTAAAACCTATATATATATATATATATATATATATATATTCGTGAAAGGCTTCAAAAAGTTCAACGTACAGCATCATCAATCGAAGTTGTGTTGAAATATGTTTGAATTTACTTCAGATGTTTTAGGCTGATACTAAGCCATATCTGTGATGTACTCTCTGGTGTTCCATGTTGTGTATGCTATGTTACTTTATAGTCTGCTCGAGTTTGTTTAAATTGTTACCTATTTATACTCTATTGCTTGAGGGTAGGAGTAGCAAATAAATTGGTAAAGTGGAATATAGGATGGTTGAAAATTAATCAATCGATATAATAATCGATTCGATCCATATTATTTGATATGGAAAAAATAGGTAAATGGTAATTTCAATGGATAATATGGATACTCATATTATTCGTCATTTCTTATGGGGTAAGATAAACAAGTTTACGTGTTTTTTTTCTTAAACCCCTCGCCTTTGCCCCTCTGTTATGTTTTTTCATTTTATTCTAGAAATTATTTGTCTCGAAGTGAGTGATTATGTGTTTTTTATCGGAAAAGTTTTGAAAAATATTTCCTTAATTTAAGGAAAGTAATTTTAAAAAAAAATTTTACTTATATTTATGAAATTGTTATTTTTTTATAATTAGAGGTAAGTACATTCACTTGAAAAATATTTTCAAAAATACGTAAGTTAAACAAATATTTTTCAAAAATATGTTAAGTTAAACAAAATGAGAAAAAAAAATTAAAAAGAAATAAAATCGTACTAAACATATCTTAATATAAGTGTAGTTTTTTAAAGGTTTTTACATTCTTATATTTTATCTTACATATTCTAAAGGAGAGTATAATTATCCGTAGGTAAACTTATGTATAATTCACATTTATTCTAAGGGGAGGTTAATATTGTGCCCAAATGTACACACAAATTTATGTGGTTGTATAAATAATATAATTTCTTTTCGAAAGAATTATCGTATTTAAGAAATTTACGATATGCTAATTAACTTATATTCACAATTGAACCAAAGTATCTTCAAAGAAATGTGATTTTGTATTTGCTACTACGACAAACAATTTAGTTAATAGAGTAACCAACAAGAATGACTTCAATTTGATGATTTAACCAAGTAAAAGACAATTTTGAGAAACAAATAAGTTATTGATTTAGTGATTCAGGGTTTTGATTTTCTTTTATATTGGATTATCGATTCTTAGTGGTTTGAGGTTTATTCTTTATGGTAACTGATAACCTATAATAAATTAGTACATTACATTTATATTATCCGATGTATGAAATTCTTGACTTATATTTTCATTTTTCAAAGTCTCAAACTCTCGACTATTAACAAACTGCTAGTGTTTTCTTACTCATGCTTGGCTCCTATGCCTATTTGAAAAAGACATAGGACTTAGGCCCCCAATTTTAGGGGGGCTCAATTTTTTACCAATAATAAGTTGTGTTAATTTTTCTTTATTTATAATAAAATATACTTTTAAAAATACTACTATTTTATTTTTATTATCTCATTTAAATAGAAGAAATTAAGAAGAATTATTTTATTTTCTCATCGTCTCTACGTGAATATTCACATTATTTTATTCTTTTAACTCCTTTTACACGAGGTTTTTGACCAAACTAAGCCATTATATAAAGCAATTCACCAAAATAATACATTTTTCTAAAATTTTACAAAACTACTATAAATGTATTTCACAGTAACGTTTTAGGATATATTTTATTTTTTAAAAGTTGACGGCGTTAGATTGATATACGTAAAGTGTTACTCACAGTAACGTTGTAGGAGTAAAACGTTACTCAAAATAACGTTTTAGGAGTAAAACGTTACTTACAGTAACATATATCAACCCAACGCTATTAGTTTTTAAAAAACAAAATATACCCTAAAACGTTACTGTGAAATACGTTTATACTAGTTTTGTAAAATTTTAGAAAAATATATTATTCTGGTAAATTGCTTTAGATAATGGTTCAATTTGGTCAAAAATTCTCCAATATGTCAATTCATATATATATATTCATGGTTAATTTGATTTTTCACTTTGTTTCTAAATAATTCAATGATCTTTTTTATGTGGAATTTTAACTTTTAAATGGATAAAGATCAATAACCAATACATCGATAAATACATATATATGATATTAATGATTCTATAACAGTTAACATGTACACAAACTGATAATCGATAAAGTAAACCAATAAACTTCAGAAATCGAACCGACTCGATCGATATGATCAATATTCTTTAAAGTTGTCTTGGAAAGGGTTGAAACCTTGTTTAATGGCACTTTTAAATTGTGGGACAAGAGGGTTTGGTAGATTTTCCCAATCATACCATTCCCATCCATCACATTTTTGTGGTTCAAGATTTTGAGGAATTTGATTTGGATCAACCAACACAGCACGTACTAGGATGACTACATAGTGTGATGCAAGATTTTCCTCATCATCACGGAAGAGGTTGTTTGTTACTTTTAGTATTTTTATCTTCATGATGTCCAAACCTGTTTCCTCCTTCACTTCTCTTGTTGCACATTCCTCAAAGCTCTCCCTTCAAAACAAATCAAAAAATACAAACTAGATATATCAAATCTATTTACGTATAATAACAATAAAAATAACAATCTTTCTTGTTATGTTATTTATAATAACATATTCAGTAAAATCTCATAAGTAGGATATGAAAAAGATAAAATGTATCAAGATATTATCACTATCTTGTAGAGATAGAAATACTATTTTAGAAAAAAAAAACTTCGATTACGAAGGAAAAAAATTTACAACATGTCACATGTTGTATCAAAGTATTTAGAATAAATATTAAACTTGAGTTATGTATTCATTAATTTAATATAAACATCAAATGCGATTACCCAAACTCGAGATGACCACTAGGAACTGAAAAATAAGAATGAGCAACACAAGCTTGACGTTTGCCAATCAACAATTTGTTTTCCTTCACTATGAACACTGCCACAGCTACTTTTGGACTTCCCACAGCCATCACCATTTTTTTTTTCTTGTATTAATTAAATTATTGTATTGCACTTACTTTTATTCATCAATGACTTCATGTTATCTTGCTCTATATATAGGCACAAATTAATAAAATATTTATGTAGGTAAACTTCCTCTTTTTTTAGGGGTTATGACATATTTTATTTTATGTGCCAAAATAATTGATAAGGTCAAAGAAATCGTCTTATAAAAGTCATTATCTTTTTTATAGAAATTTTATTTAAAAAATACTTCTTTTAGTTATCTTTAAAGATATTTTAATTGTATTGATGATAAAAAAAAAAAGAAAAACCTTTTCACAGAAAAAAAGAGAAAAATTTATTATTATTTTATTGAAAATTTGGTTTCTACCATATATTTTTTTTATAGTAATCCTGTAGTGGAATATTTTTGTTTGCAGTATTGGTGGATCCTTTTTTGTTAAAAATTATATCATCTAATCATACATTTCCTTTTTTGTTAAAAATTATATCATCTAATCATACATTTCTATAATAGTATTGTTGATTTCAAGATTTTTTTTAACTGCTATAATATTATTTAACATTTAAATAATATTTAACTTTCTTAAGTAAAAAGATGCAAAATTTTAATCCTAATTAGTTATAAATATGTATGGGGAAAAAAAAGAGAAGTCTTTTAGTGAAATTTATATTAGTATTATATTTTTTGTTCTAAATTAATATTTGATCGACCTAATTAGGGATGACAATGGAAAAGAGGTGAGTGTGAAGCGGAGCAAATTTAAGACTATGCAGGGTGGAAGGGATTTAAGATTATGCGGGAAGGGTTAAGGTAATTTTGTGTTAAAATTATGAAAAATGCATGTCAATACGTATTAAACTAATATAAGTTAACGAGCAAAAAAAAAATATGTAAAAATTACTTTTAGAAACAAAATCAATTTTAAAACTTATACAGGACGAATTTATATCGACATATCTATACGGGGTGGAGTGTGGTGGATTAAAATGAAAAATGTTGCTATGTGAAAAAGTTAGAAGCTCGTTATTATAGTAAGAGTTAGGTCATTTTACAAAGACTGTGTTGATATAGAAATAAATAATTATTAATTGTTGTAGAAAATTATAACATAAATGATTTTTGAGAAAAACATGATTGTTATAGACTAGTGAGTTATTGTTATATAAAAATGTTATTATAAAAAAGTTTCATGGTATAGGTCAAAATCATTTCTTATTTATTTATGAGTTAACACATTTCACACTTTAGTTAAGTATTCTATAAAGAGACTTCTGAGTGTAATTAGTAGTATAAAAGGAACGACGATAGAAAATGACACTTGTGATTATTGGAGGTGTACACTTGTGATTCTCATGCTTGGATCTTTAAAAATGGAATCCATAAATAAATCGAATAGAAAAAAATATTATTCATTTATTGCTATCAAACTAACTAACTTCTGATAGTTTTATAAAATAATTATCAGGTTATTAATTCACTTTTTGATTTTTCAACATTAAGTTATTAAATAAATCGATAACTAATTAAGACGGTAATAGTTTATTAATTTATCCCTTCATAAATAATAATATCTAACACTTTATTGATTACTACATATGTCCTTTAACATTTATATGACATTATTATTATTATTATTATTATTATTATTTTATTTCTTTTAAAAAAAATTGGGGGTGGGGAAGGAGAAATAGGGAGGGAACGACAACACTTGTATAATTCTTTTTATGTTAGTTATTGTTGTTTTTGTCTGGGATAATATAACGATTCATTTAATCATTTTGAGTACTAATCCTTTTTATTTCACAAAAGACTCTTTTGATAGATTCTAAATGAAAATCTTGAACTATTTAACAATAATTATTTAGTTGACGAATATTTATTATGTAGTTTATTTAATTGGTGGATACGCATTAAATAATTAATTTTTGGGCTGCCAAGCGCATTCGGGTAAGAATAATAATGCTCTAACGTCTGTTGAATGTCATTATACTATGCCTATTGCCTTATAATTTTATATCTTCATATGAAAAGAGACTAATCAATTATGTAGTTGTAATTTGTTATATTAGAGGAATCTTTGCATAAGAAAATTAATGATGCCAATAATTAGGATAAGAATGAATTGTTAGTTGGAAAAGTTTCTGCATATTTATTCTCTTTGATTTTTCTTTTGGTCCTGCGTAATTGCTGTCAAACACATGGATTTATAGGTTTGAAATAATTAGTGATTAATGTTTATCTAAGAATTAAGGTGATGGATATAAATTGTTTCAATTTTATTTCTAAGTCCCTTGCATAAAGTTTCAATCATATATATATATATATAGTAATTCACTTTTTCATAGTTGAAAAATAATTGAAACTGGGAAGTATTCATATGCAGTGTGTTTATGCAATTAAATATTGAAAGTTCGACATGATCGTTGACACTCGCTATTGATTCGTAATCAGTGAATTCCAATTTTAAGTAAATATTATTTTATTATCTTATTAAAAAAATAAGTTGCGATATATTAATATAGGTAATTAAATATTGAGTTTAGTATATTATTTTGAATATTATTAAGGTTATATTATTCAAAGAAATATAGACTTAACTTTAGACTTAAATATAAGAAATAAGAGGCTTGACATATTTATTGACCTCAAGATAAGAAACTTGAATATAGATTAGTGTTTGATTCATAGTCAAGTCTATGCTATATATAGAATAATATGAGTGTATACGGACCCGTTAACTTACAAATTATGCACATATACTTTATAGATTGGAAAGGTTCGAAGACATGGAGGAAAGGAAAGGCAATGGAGAAGTAGTTGGTTTGACTTCGTTTCTTCGATGGAGGTAGGTTACGGTTTATGCTATTTGATAGTAAACTCTTAATAGTGATTGATATGCATTGAATTATATTGTGAAGTTTTCTATGTATTTGATTGTGTGGTTATGTGACTTGGTTGTGTGTTTTGTGATTAGTCTGAAATCTTGAGACCGTGAAATTTATATTCTTGAAACCTCTTTAACGAATGATACCTTAAATAAAGAAGACTTGATGAATTATCAATGAATTGAAAGTGGTGATAATAAATGATAAATTAATGGTATTATTGGATCGGAGTGTCATGTTCCGACACAGTATAATTGGATCGGAGTGTCACGTTCCGACACAATATTCTTGGATCGAAGTGTCACGTTTCGACACGGTATTCTTGGATTTGAGTGCCACGTTCCGACGCGATATTCTTGGATCGAAGTGTCACGTTTCGACACGGTATAATTGGATCAGAGTGTCACATTCCGACACAGTAACATTAAAGGAAAAAAATATTGAATTAATTTAATATACTCAATCTAAAAGAACTTTATTCCCCAAATGGTTTGGTTGGAGGCACGAGTCCTCATGGATGATCTTGATATTGTTGACTTAGTACATACTTAATTTAGTGTTGTTGACCCTGACTCATGTTGTTTATTGCTTATCACCTGTTAAGTGCTATACTTGAGTTCATACTATTGTCCATTGTATATTAGTTTCTATTTTGGGTTGGCCGATGATACCTACTCAGTACATGTTGCCCCGTACCGAGTCCTACTTGTGTTTTTTTTTGTTTTCCTTTTATGGAGTCAGTGTGTACCAATTACTTCGACTTGCCCTCAGGTCTAGCTAGTCTCCAGCATATGAGGTTCCAGGGTGAGCTATTCGTTCAAGCTCGTGTTGGATTCTCTCAGTCATGACATGATGTCCTATGTTTTCGGACTCATACCGTTTTATTCTTTTATTTTGGTGTATTTGATACTCTTAGACTTAGTATTTGAAGTTTAGATGTCCTTGATGTGATGACTTTCAAGTTTTTAGAAATGATATTTAATGAGATTTTGAGCTTCCACATTATTCTTGTATAATATAATTTAAGGTTAAATTCGTTGGTTCGCCCACCTAGGTAGTTTAGTGTAGGTGCCACTCACGACTCGATTTGGATCGCGACAGATAATGTACAAGTACCCCCTTAACATATGCCCGAAATCTTAGTGACACACTTATACTATACTAAGGTCCTATTACCACCCTGAACTTATTTTATTAATAATTTTTTACCCCTTTTCGGCCTACGTGGCACTATTTAGTGAACCCAACTCTGGTTGATTTTTTTTTTCAAAGCTAGTGCCACGTAGGTCGAAAAGGGCTAGAAAATTACTTATAAATAAGTTCAAGGGATTAATGGGACATTAGTATAGTATAAGTGTGTCTCTGGAATTTCGAACATAGATTGGGGAGAGGGGGTACTTGTGCATTTTATTTTATTTTGTTTTATGAACATTCTTAGCACGTCAAATTATTGGAGAAGTCATATATTTATTTGATGAGCATTTTCGTACCGATTAAACCGAAAATAATATCATTAACGATCAAAACCCATAAACCAAAAACTGATTAGATTTTTTTTTATTAGCTTAGCATATTTGGAAACATGAAATTGATAAATAGAATTAATAATACATAAAATCAAATTAAACCGACTGATAAATACCCTTGCTAATCCTTTGAAATGATAAATTGATTACTCCTCTCTTTGCTTTATCACTTTAAAGTGACAAAGCAGTGACTTTTTAATATACATAATCAAAATATCTTGTTAAGTCTTTCTTTTTCTTTTTTTTGTATCACAAGGTGCATGAACTAGTGCTCTCTACTTGTGGCAAGTCTCGATCTAAAGAAGGAATTTGGATATGGTGGATCTAAAGGTCTGGTAATAAATTTAAGTGAATTTAATAATTTATATATACTTAAATATGAATTTAATTATTGATTATGTTGAAAGAGTTAAAGATGAATTAATAAAGATTTTATTTATTTATTTATTTAAAAAACGTGTGAAAGAAAAATACGATAATTAATACAAGACAAAAATATTAACACTTTTTTTAATTACGGAAAAGAGATTATGAAAAGTAAGAGGAACTTGTAAGCTTGCTTTCTCAAAAGTACTCCACTAGATATAACACAATAATTGAAGATATGGGCCAAAATTAGGTGGTATAGTTTTTACCAACTTGCTTTTTAATTTATTTATTTACTTTAAATAAAAAGACTTCTATTTTTACATATATAATATATATAAAAAAAATAGATTTGTATATGAGCAGATGTGAAGAAAATATAGTTAAATAGTGCTTTCTTTTAACCATTTAAATTTTCAACTAGGATGATCACACGAAATGATATTTTTAAAAGCTATTTGGTATCACAAATCATCAATTTTTAAATGAGAAAATTGTATATAATAGCAAATTATTAATTCAAATAAATGTCATAACCACAGCTTGATTTAGTTATACCTTATAGCAAACTGTTGTTATATATATATATATATATATATATATATATATATATATATATATATATATATAATTTTGTTCCCCTCTCTCAGGTCTCTCTCGCCACTCTGTCAAATTTTGCCAGTCTCTTCCTCTCCTCTTTCATTTATACAAACAGTGTTGCTGTTTGTATAAAGCGAGAGAAAATTCTATATACACATGTAAATACATATGTCTTCGTCCTATACACTATAATACAATACAAATATTTCCCTGTCTAGTTCTGTTTTGTCTTTCTCTCTTTCTCGCTTTATACAAAATACAATGTATAATTTTATATTTGTATAAAGCGAGAGAGATATTTGATATACAAACGTTTTATTTTGATTCAATTGTATACAGATTCAAATTTTATGCAAATATACAAACACATAAAATTGAATTGAGAAGTTGCTAGCGATTTATACAAACGTCTGCCAGCGAAATCACTCATTATAGCTATAGTTTGATATAATTACCACTCGCGACTAACATTATACATAAATTACGTGGGTTGACTTCCAGTTTGTATAATTAGTCGCATTTATATATGTATAATTCGCCAGAATATACAAATGCATATGTATAATATACAATTATCTAACCGATATATATATACATTTTACATCTCTCCCACTCTCTACCATCTCTCACTCGCCTCTCTCCTTCCTCTCCCAATTGGCTTGCAATATATACAAATGCATATGTATAATTGACAATAATCTAACCGATATACATATACAATTCACATTTCTCCCGCTTTTTGCCCTCTCTCGCTCGCTTTTCCTCCCTCTCTCAATCTCGCTTGCCATATATTTAAATACACGTGTATAATATATAATTTTCTAATCGATATACATACATAATTCACCTTTCTCCCATTCTTTTCCCTCTCTGTCAGCTCTCTCCTCTTTCCCAGTCTTGCTCGCCTCTCTCCTCCCTATAACATATAGCTACAAATTGTAATTATCAAACTATAGCTATAGAGAACAATTAGATTATTTTAACTGGTTATATGTGAAAGTTCCTCAATATTGATATACTACTCTTGTTGATGTACGCCAATTTTACAAAAGTTTATATATGTTACAAATATATAAGCATATCAAAATAAAATGCAAGTTTTCATATTATTTTAGTATAAATAAATGGTTGTTTTGTCAATTGCAAATTCGTTCTCTTAAAACAACAAAAGAGGGAAGGACGTTCTCAATCCTTGTGATACTCATATAGTATCTCCTACTATTATATTTGAGAGTGAGTGAAAATCGAAATGATCGATAAACTGAATTGAAAAAAGTGTTATTGATTTATTGGGTTAGTGATTTTATAAAAAAAAAAAAAGTCATTGCATTATCGATTTGATATTAATTTTTAATATTGGGTTATTGGTAAACCGATTATCCATTAAGACTAGTAGTTTACTACTTTTACTTATACATAAATATTAAAGTATATATTAATTCCAATAACTTACTAGTTATTGTCTTTATACTTTAGCCTTTAATTCATATTTCATAGTGACTTTGAATTCAGAACTTCACATTACACAAAACGTCAAAATCTAAAATAAGAACCATATTCCTCTTAATTTCTCTTTGTATGTTTGTTATTATTATTTCTATTTTATGGGCATTTGTAAAGTAACTATTGTGTTGTCTTGGAAAATTTATTTTATAAGTATTTATTTATTGGTTAAATCGAAACAGAAACCGAACCATTAAGAACCAAAACGGATAAACCCAAAAATCGATAAATAAAATACCTTGTTGATTTGGTTATTGGTTTAACGTATTTAAACCAAAAACTGATAAATCGAACCGACCTATACATACACCAAATTATATCACATGGATAGCTATTTGAAGACTCAATTCGTGAAGAAAATAACACGGGAAATAAAAGAGAGAGAAGGAGAGAAGTTCCTAGTTTTTCATATATTCGATAAGTTCTCATCGGTACAATCCGGCTAATTATGAAAGGACAAATGGACACCTTATTCTAACATGTAGTACGACACGTGGCTAGTTCATTGCGAGGACTATTCTGCAATTACTGAAAGCATAACTTATACAAGCATTACTAAATACACTGCGGCTAAGGAATGCAAATGTGGCTGAGACTGAGAAATAGGCTTTACTTTCTAGTATTCATTTTGACAGCAATTGGATCAGAACAATATGGACAATTGCCAAACAGAACATCAAACGACCTGTAAAAACAAACAAAGCAGATAAATGTGATAAGAAAATTAAAAAAACTATGTCATTACAGTTGGCTAGAGTTATGCAGGGTTTAGTTATTCGGGACTGTAAGCCGAGAACCATACATCGTATTTGATGTGCTCAATGCTATACATAGCAACTAAAATGCCACCAAACAATGTACTTGTTATACTGGTTTTAATACATGAATAATTTACTTCCTAACCAACAATCAAACGACCCCTTTATGTATTGAAGGATACAAAGGCAAAAGGTAACAAGAAGTTCCAAGCACAAAAAGGGAAGTTCAATTATTCCAAAAGTTATACATTTCTCAATTTTACTCCCTTTATACAATTTTATCTATATGTTGCTCAAAAACCAAAACAATGTATAGCCTCTCCATTTGTCCTCAAATTAGCACCAACTATTCTCAAATTTAACTCTCTTAATGATCATACAACAAGAAGTCAATTTGGATTAGAGGGTAATCAAAGTCGTTGCTCAAGTGAAAAAGAAATTGAAAAATAGAACTTCCATCCGTGAAAAGAATGCATATATTATCATTGTAACATACAACAGTATGACTTACCTACGAAAGCTCATGCAAGCAAGGTAAGAGTTTTTATGCGTACTGTTGAAAAAACAAGGTGTATTTTAACTATACTTAGTTCAACCAAAATCTTGTCTAATTAATCTCTCTTACTGTAAATGGACTGGTATGATACAGAGATATTTCATTTCATTAGCATCTGTTTCAATCAATAATATATTTTCCATTCCAAAACATTAATCTAGTTTCAACTTGGCCTGGCTATATATCAACTAAAAACTTTTATCACCAACACTAACAGATGATCAACAAAGCTCAATTCTGGGCTCGCACAACAGAATAACAATATCTTAAAGATATGTTTACCATCACAATCAAAAAATAAAGATAGGAGATTTCAACTTACTGCCTTGTTGTTGTGATGGAACGGAGCCAATCTTCAAGGCAAATACTATGGAAGGCCCTACTGCAGCTGTTATTTTCACATGTACAATCAGTGCCACTTCCACTCTTATCACCAAGTTCATCATCTAGATTGACATCATCAAGTCAGTGCCATACCACAGAATATCAATTGGGTTATCTTACGGATATTAGGATTACCAATTGGAAGATTTTGTGCATAACAAATGCCACATTCAGTTTGTGGATCAGTTTTCTGAATGCTTGAAGGTCCATGAAGTTGAATATCCAACACGTGTGCAAGATTCTCGGAAAAATGCTTGTCTCTCATCCTGTGAGTAAAATAGAAATCTCAGTTGGTGAAACAAAACAAGGGACAAGCAAAAGCTAAATAACACAATTTTGACTGTGTCGGAATTCAAATCCTAGGCACATCAATTTACCTTAAGAACGACATAGTAATCTTAAGGCACATCAACTTATGCATGAATACACTAGGTAACAGAGAAATCAACAATGATGCTTGAAAAATCCAGAAAAACTACTTAAAGCAGTACTTTGATGATTATATCCAGCAGTAAAAGCAATAGTTGAAATACCATCTTTTGCAGTTTTTCCTCCACATCGCCCTCAATCTCTCCACCCCTGAATCAGAACCTAGAAAGCGACAGCTAGAAGACCTCCATATCAATTTCAAAATCATTAAAGATAAGAATACTTGTAAACGCTGTGAGTTTCAGAAAAAAAACTTACTCTGGTAGGGATGTCGGATCATTAGCATCTATAGACAATATGATGTAGCTGTCATTACCTATAGCAAAAGAAAATGGATATCAATTACTTCTGCAGCGGTAAAGGGATACTGAACAACATTCATGTAAATACGCACATACTTATATTAAGTTGGCGATGTGACAAAGCACGTTGAGGATATCGTAGATCAGAAACCAAAAGAGAGTGGTCAATGTCATCCATTAGATTCCAAAAGTCCTGAAGCTTCTCAAGATGCTGGATCCATTAAGAAAAAGATATGGTAATTATAGCAGAAAATCACAATTCACAAATGTTGATAAACTACACATATATCATTGGTGGATGAAATAATCAGTAGTAAATCATAAGTTACAATGCAAATGCAAACGAGGGGAGAGCTGCAACATGATAAAAAGAATACACAATTACCTTCTGAAACTGTTGGATAACATCTTTCAGTCTTGAGTTAATTGACCATTTCAAATTGAAGAGATAAGGCACATCCTGGGGAATAGTCAGTAAATTAGGACATTGCCTAAAGACTTCATGCAAGGTTCTAGTATCTCAAATTTGAAGGATGCCAACCGCTGATAATGAAGGCGGATGGTTAGGATATGTTCCATCCAAAGTTATCTGCAGAATGTGCACTCTTCCCTTCTTGTCCCTAACACACGGAAAAAGCTTGAGAGATTATTTTCCGGTAAGGCAAATCACAGTCTTCCACTAGCTGCAATTCAGAAGTTTACAGTCCTCCACTACAGTCCCTCCTCTTATAATTCCTTCCTAACAAACAAGGGAACAATCTAATACCTCTTCTTTCATTTAACCAACACCTCCTCTTCCTAATTTTAACCCAAGCATAACGTTAAGAGATAAAAGAGGCCATACTTGATCCGAAAGCTGAGAAGTCTTAGGTCTTTCCCAAATCTAACAAGGTGCTCCCATCCTATCTCCTCTACCTGTAAATACAACATGATTTCAGAAGATCCAAGAAATTATTTGCCAAAAGCATATTCAAAACCACTCAATCAATGTCTATAATAGACGACGATGCAAATAGCATAGTAGTTCAAAAGTCACATTAAATATCTCTAATTTAGAAACCGAGCAATGTCAAGCACAATGCCTAAATTACAGAGAAGTTTCATAAAAGGCAAACATCTACAAAACTTATCTGTACTGTTTCTGATCATTCTTAGCCATGAATCTCAAAATTTCACAAAGCCACTGGAAAGTGCAAGGACATAATGGTTAAAATTTAACATCAATGTAATCTTGGGTATGTAAATATCCCTTCCTTAGTAAAAACGAATTCATTAGCTTTGGTTTAAACCCTGTATTTAACTATTCATCCTTAAAATCCACTTGAAACTCATGATGCTCAAACTTCACAAAAATATGAACAGGTACGTGTTGGATACTCCAAAAATAGCGTATTTTGGGAGAGCGAGAACAACATAGCTCCGAACACATAATAAGCTTCAAATCCTGACTCCACCTCCCACTCCTCCCAAATAAGAAAAGCAAAAAATGGGGCTTTTTCTTTCCATTTTAAATTTTGAGACTCCATACTAAAAAACAATAAAATAGAGTATTAAATCTTAAGATTTACTGATACTGATACAGCATACCTCTGAATATATCCTGCGGTAGAAAGATGATGATTTGGCCAATTCTTGGCATCTTTTCTGCTCTGCACACTCCTAAATGTATGAGATTCAGATATACTCAGTACTTAAATCAATTTGGGGGAAAATAAAGTTGTTACTTACCATTATAATTATCTTCCAACAAACCAAAATTGAAATATTTCAATGTCAGATACCAACGCCACCAGCCTCAACAGCTTCTCAACCCAATTCCAAGAATCTATTTATTTTTTTTCAGCTGCTATTCAGCATTCAGAAACATTACTTCTTCTGTTTTTGCCCGAAAATCATTTAGGAAAATGAAGACCTTCTTGGGCTTTTTTTTAGTTGTCCACTTTAAAAAATTTTACTTATGCCACAACCACAAAGGATTATTTATACGAAATTTAGATTAAATTTATGTGTATTTGAGTTGAAGGATTTATTTGCAGTTTACAAATAAACAAGTTTATTTTGTTAAATTATAATACAAGGTTTATTTCAGTTTAAAATCCAAATTCATATCATGTGTTATAATGACGAGGCATCCAAGCCCAACAAGATGAACACACATGTCCAAATAATGTGGTAGTCTTGCAAATTCAAGAATCAATCACAATTCGTTAAGTGCCGAAATGAAATTTTTTGGTTAATCATAAGCAACCTTGTTACAACTATAAAATGCTTCTTAAAATACAAGTCTAAATTGCAAGTTGAGATGCTCTTTGATGTGCATGCTTAAACTACATGCTGAAATGCTCCTCGATGTACGAGCCTAAACTGCAAATTGAAACGCTCCTCAATATATGTGCCTAAACTGCAAATTGAAACATTCCTCAATGTACGAGCTTAAACTGCAAGTTGAAATGCTCCTCGATGTACGAACCTAAACACATATTGAAACGCTCCTTAACGTACGAGCTTGAGCTACATGTGAAAACACTCTTCAAAGTACGAGCCTAAACTGCAAGTTGAATTCTCATAAACTCATGAGCCTAAATTATTTGTTATTCCTATAGTCTGCATGAGTTTAAATTGAGTACGCCCCCCTCCCCAAAAATTTTTTTTATAAGTATATGTGTTTGATCATACTCTTCGCAATATTTAGGCATATATAATTGAAAGAAGAAGAGGATTTGCGATGAAGTTTTAAAAAAAAATATTGCTCAAATATTAAAAGAATTTGATACATGAATGAATGAAAAAATAAAGGTGACATGAAGATGATTATACATCGTCATCTACAAAAATTCAAGTCACGAAAATGATTAGAATCTAAGTCTTGTTGTCGAGTTGTCTTTAAGTGCCCCATCGAGTTTTGTAAGTGTTGATTGAAGGTTCTACGAGAGAAGTCACCTTCCTTGAAGTAAATAAAAGATAGGCTTCAATCATGCTCAAAATTTTCTATGATATAGCTTCAAAAAAACATAAAAATCAAGTTATGTGTGATCATTCTTGGGAAAAAAGTAAATTCGTGACATGATTCACTACAACAAATCTTTCTTTCACATGAAGGTGTTACTTGTTGCCCGTCGCTCAAAAATTCAACACATCTGGAAGGAATTTTGATTCGAAACTTTGACATATCCTCTTTCTGCCCGCTTGCATTTCCCCAACAAGTCAAATCAGAATGTTGATTTTGACAATCTCCATTGAAAGTGTCTTCGAGTTGGAAGACATATTAAGCGATCAGCTAAGTAGCTAGGAGATATAACAGACATACAAATGATATCAACTGAGATCGTTAACAGACATATAAAAGTCTATATGACAATGCGAGAACTTCAGACAAACTTAAGCTAGAAGAGAGTGTTTAAGTTATGTGCATTAACATTGTAAAAGAAAATACAGCATGAACTAAAATTGACATACAACATTAGGTAACTCTCCATAAGAGGCCTAAATAAACCTTGAAAATAAATTAATAACACAGTAAAATTGTAGTGTCATGAATATTTACTATCCACTGAATATAACTTTTTTATCCAAAGATAGCAAAGCTCATTTTAGCTCAACAGTCCAATTCATGTTATCCGTTGCTAGTCCCATTTGTAGGCTTGTAAGTGTAGAATATAATTGCTTTGATACACGACCAACCCCATCACTTCCATATGATACCCTGCACAAATGTAAGCCAGAATGTGCGTGATCCAGACATATACGAATGTACACATGGGTATTCATGCACTGACAACTAAGCAACTTATTTTAGAAATCATGATGTATATGTTCATAGCCATCTCACATTCTGCAGCAGGAGACGACTAAAGAGATAACACGATAGTATCTGGATGAAAAAGTCTATCTAATTCCATTCCGCTTTATGTAGATACCTTTTCCCAAGATGAGTAATGCTGCCAACAGGAGATACAACCACTGCTGTTCCTGTGCAGAACACTTCATCAGCATCAAGCAATTCGTCCACAGACACTTGCCGTTCTTCAACCTGCATATTGAAAACATTATGGTCTTAGAATAATAGTCTTATGATATATGAAGTATTAAGTTACCAGCTCAGCCAACTGAACTAGAAGAAATCAAAGGAATGGTAACGTGAAGTTCATCATTATGCCAGGAACTTAATCATCAAAGCGTCATTGCCACGAATTTGACTCACCATGGCTAGAGCTAAACTTGAAAGATTCTATTTTTTTCTCCTAGCCAGATGACCAACATATACACAATAGTCATGAAAGGCTCAATACTATCATTCAATAGAATTGAAGTTCTACCTAGGTGATTTAACCAATGCAGAACCATTTCCCTTAGCTTGTTGCTTAAATCTGAGATTTATAGCCAAATTTTTTATTGCTAAAACATGAAAGCAACTCTCAGTTACCTATGTCTTGAATAATTCGTCTGCAACATTTCTTTTTCTCATCCTCTGGAACTGTAAAATTTGTAATGATATCCCTTTGACTAAGCTCAGAATTGTATATACTAGTTGGTAGAATAAGCACAATATTCATTGATTTTTAAACTGGGGTTTCATTACAAATATGATGAACACTATCTTCACGTCTTCCTGAAGTAAGCTAGAGGACTTAAAAATATCAAGAAACTGAATATGGAAGGGGAAAAAAGAAGGGAAGGAACTCCAATTGCTTGCACATATGGAACACAATATAAGTATATTTTGAAACCCTTATGATATGGCAAGTAGGATTAGATTAGTCTAAAGCATGTTTTTGTATTAGACAAATGGAAGGGGGCTTACCTGGAACCCTTGGCTTAGAGCTACGTCAATTATGCTCTTTCGTGTGATACCAGGAAGAATGGTTCCTTTAATTGCAGGAGTTGCTATCAGATTACCCTGAGAAATGTATATAGAAACATACTTGCCTTCATCATTATGATAATTTGCAAAGAAGTCTGTTTGGAGAATTCAAAATATCCTTGTAGGGAAAATGCCACTGCTTGACAAATATCTAAGTGAATCTTATCATTTTTGTTCTTGCCTAAGACTAGCAAATGTTTCAATGCCAAGAATTCACACATTCACCAGAAGGAAAGAGCTCTTTCTTTTTGCAAATAAAGTAAGAGAAATCCATTGTGTTTGAAAGGAGACAATGATGACCTAACCCATATGTAAGCCAAATTGGGAAAAGATAAAAAGGATACGAAATAAAAGCTTATATTAAAAAATCCGGACACATATTTCTTCGTAACCATAATGAAAATACTAAAAGAATAGTTTTGGTGCACAGACAAAATTGACGTAATATTATACCTTCACGATGAAGACATTACAAGAGGAAACCTCCTCTAGGTATCTATTGTTGACAGAATCAAGGTACAGAACATCAGAGTAGCCTTTTGCTTTAGCAGCACTCTGTGCCTTCAGAACCTACATTCACATACCCGTAGATGAAAATGAAGTCATCAACAATTGCAGATCTGATTATCCATATAAAATAGAAACTACGCCTCGATCCTAGGCTGTTTTGGTCAGCCATATGAATCCCTATATCCATTTCGGTCCATTTAGACCCATTTCATTCCAGAATTATAAATTAGGCATCAAATAATTAGTAGAAGGACAAATGTTTTTCTTCTCATAATCACTGCTTGCCTATAAAGTTAGGTGTTTCCATCTAATAATATGATAATAAAATTGCATATCCCCTTGTAAACACATCAAGTGTAACACAAGAGTGAAAGGCTCAAAAGTTTAGAGGAATAAGAGCTTGCTAGGTGGAGTGCAGAAGTTCAAGGGTTAAGCTGAACGCAGAGAACGTATCGTATATTTAACAAATGAACAAAGGGTGAGAATGACATTAAAAATACAAAAAGGACAAGCAAGCTTAGTATGATCTCATGAATATTTATCATCATCAATTCCGAAGAAGAAAATGAAACTAAGGACGTATCGTATATTTAACAAATGAACAAAGGGTGAGGATGACATTAAAAATACAAAAAGGACAAGCAAGCTTAGTATGATCTCATGAATATTTATCATCATCAATCCCGAAGAAGAAAATGAAACTAAGGCTCCAATATTTTTTGTTGCATGAGCACACATCTGAAAAAAAAAACCGTAAACCTAGCTTACCGCAGCATAATTTCCTATAGTCTTGACACCTCCGGTACCTCCAGGAGTTGCGCGATGCATTTCTGTCTCAATTAACAAATTTATTGGTGCCATACCTTCCTGCCAAGAAAGTAAAAAATGAAGTGACGGTAGAACTAGAGAAAACCCAACGGATAACATGATTATTAGAACACAAACATGGAATTCTACAACAAAAGATGGCATGCTCACTTGAGGATTGAGAATTAACAACAAACCTACATCTTCCTATCCTTTATGTATTCCTTACCAACACCATAACCACTTGTCTTGAAAGTAGTATGAAGATTGTGAGATAATGTATCATAACTTGTTAACTTTTTGCTTTCGCATCAAATTCACTTCATATACCAACTGTAGTTGACAGTCCCGAGATATGCCACAACCATCATCAAGGACTTAAATTCATACAAAATTTTGAACATTTCAAAATTTAGTCAAAAAGGAATTCAGATCTAATGAATATTCTTGTATCATTCACAACAAAATTCCATAGCCCAACACCTTATGTCTAATACCAATGCTTCTCATGATACTCAATCAGCAACTAAAACTCTCCTATAACCATATGAAATGTAATAAACAGCAGAACAGGGAAAACAATTGCATATGTAATTTTTGCTCCCCATCCCCTCTGGGCAATACTTGTAAATCATTTTTTTTCTATAGTTTAAAACCAATAATATCATGGATCCTGATGAACTTACAACAATTATCTCTTCACATAATTTAGCAGCAAAGTTCTCCTTGTTTATAGGCTTAGGTTTATATAAGTGAAGTATAATTTGTTCAAAAAGACCAAAATGAT